CATATTCAGGGTCTTATTTTATTTATAACTACATCTAATTTTATAAATAACTAATACATTCAAGGAGTTCAAAAATTTTAAATATCAAATGAACAGTTGAAATTGTCATGTTGATATTCATAATATAAATAGGCCTCTAATATTCCTTTATTTTTAATATTTTTGTCTGATTTTTAGTAACAGGGTTATCTTGGCCTTGTAGAATGAGTTGGGAAATGTTACCCAGTTTTTGGTTGTTTGGAAAATATTGCATAAAATTAGGATCCTCTACTCTTTGAAAGTTGGTAGAACTTACTTATAAAACAAAACTGGCCTTTTCTGTGTAGGAAGACATTGCTTTTATTTCTTTAATAGTGATAGGACCATTTAATTTTTTGAGTAAGTCTTGGTAAGATACATATATGACATGTTTTTCTAATAATATGTCCACTTCATTGAAGGTTTTAAAGTTGTTGGCATAAGGTTGTTGATATATCCACTTTCATCTATTTTTTCACTCTATCAGTAGTTACTGCCCCTCTTTCATTCCTTATATTTTTTCAGTTGTGTCTTCTCTTCTTCTGGCCAAACTTGCAAGAGGTTTGTCTATTTTATTGGTTTAAAAAATGTTTTGTTGATCTTTATCATATCTTTGTTTTCTCCTTCACTGCTGCTCTTTATTATATGTTTTTCTTCTATGTTCTTTGAGTTTATTCTTTCCTTGTTATATAAATATTTAAAATTGCACATCTCCCCCAAGGTACTATTTTGGCTGCATCCCACAAATTTTGATATATAGTGTTTTTAATATCATTCAATTATAGATATTTTACATCTGTTATAATTTCTGCTTAAACCCAAAAGTTATTTAGCAGCATATTCTTGCAAAATTGTGAATGAGAAAAGGTTGTCCCCACTATCATTATTCTACTCAACATCATATATGAAGTGCTAGACAGTACATACATGTCATAAGTGATCTAACTGAATACTCCTGAGAGCCATGGAAAAAACAGAAAAAACAAGGAGAGAAATCTAGCAAGAACAAGCTACCTTTAAAGGAAACAGAATCAGAGCTGCAACAGACTTCCCCTTGGCAACACTGCAAACTAGAAGTTAAAGCATTGACACCTACAGTCCACTGAAAGCAAACGCCCCAAGGATCCCACACCTAGTTGAGATACCATCAGGCCCATCAAGTTGAGAATTAAATTTCATTTTGTATTTCTAAGGAACATTTAAAAAACTTGTGTACTCAAGATAAAGAAAAGCTTAACAAATTCAAAGAGGCATTATAAGTCACATTATTTAATCAGAATACCCCCAATTAAATACACAATTAAAAAAGTGTCTCTCTCTCAAAACAATTAACTACCTGGAAATTGAGAAATATACTCCTAGATAATCCTTTGATGTAAGGGAAAAATGAGAAATTACAAAGTATTTAGATAGTACTGAAAAGGAGAAAATTTTGTATTAAAAGCTATGAGACATAGAGACATTTCACTCAAAAGTTAAAAGTATACCTTTAAATGCCATTATTAAATAAAAAAATATGAGAAATGAAAGAACTATGTATTCCCTTCAGATCACAAGTCTGAAAAATAAAAACAAAAACAAAAACAAAAAACAGGAAGAGGAAATGAGTAAATATAGAAGTAAAAAGTAATGTTATGAAAAATAAAAGTAGTAAAGAAATCATATGAAATATAGAAGCTGGTTGCTTGAAAAGACCAAAAAATAAAGGCTTTCCCCACCTGATAAATAATAAAAGATAAAAATAGATAAGATTAAAAATCAGAAATCAGGTATAACCACGGAGAATATATTTAAAAATTAAGAGTATTACATGATATATTATAGGTCCAAATTTGAAATCTTAGAGAAAATGAATGATTTCCTGTCAAAATATAAATAATAAAAACTGATCTGAGAAGAATTGAAAATATAAACAGTCAAATTGCTACAGAAAACTCTGGAAATACTAAACAACCACTATTGAAAGAGGCATGAGAATCAGTTGACTTCGTAACTGATTTTACCTGATGATACTGGAATCATAATCAAGTTTTATCTAGCTTTTAAGAAACATGTAATCCAATGTTATTAAATCTAGTTAATTGTGAAATTCACTTAATTTTAACACAAACTATGATAGAATTAATGCTCCCTAATAAAGAAAAGTTTAGAAATCAATCTTGTTTATAAATACATGTACTGGACTTACAAATAAACTATAACTATGTAGAAAATGATACACAAAGAAGTAAATGATGTAGGCATTATTCCATAAAGACACAGGTGCTTCAATATCAGGAAATTCAGTAATAATAATTCATTTTGCCAGTTGGTTAAAAGGAGGAAAATATGCTGTTATATCAATAGATGCTAAAAAGGCATTTAACAAAATCCAAAAGCATTTCTAATAAAATATCTAAGTAAAACTGGAATAGAAGGAAAGTATTTAATTCAAAATAAGGAATATTTACCAAAACCAAACATCAAATATACTTCCAAGTGGCAAAACAGCAAATAATTTCATTAAAATCAGGAAGTAAATATGCTCACTGTCAATATTATTATTTAACACTGTCACAGAGGTTCAAGTGAACTTAAGAACATATAGACAAAACAAAACAAAATAACTGATATAAACACTGGAAGAGCAAAGATGAACTCTTTTGCAGGGGTGTTGGGACTGATGATATAATCGTGTAACTATAAAATCCAAGAGACAGTAATAAGAAACTAGAATTAATATGAAAATTTTATAAGTTGATGATATAAAACAGACAAAAACCAGCAGCCTTTCTCTATTCTATCAACAAATATCAAGAAACTGAAATAGAGAAAATAGTCTGTTCACAGCAGATGCAAAAATGATCATAAATTTAACAAGAATGGCAAAGAAACATTTTAAAATAAAACAAAAAATCACATTAGAGAACATAAAACATTTAAAGAAAAAGAAAAAATACTATATTCTTGAAAGACAAGGCTTTTCTAATATTAAGAGGACTTAATATCTCTAAATTAGTATATAAGTACGATGCAATTATAATTAGAAACCTTGTCAGGATTAGAATTCAATGAAGTTATCTTAAAGTTTATGTGGAAGAATAATTGCCTGTGAATATATAAGAAAATTATGAAGGCTGGAGGACAAAAACTTTACTAGGTATCTATCAGAGACTGGACTAGAGTTAAATAAAGGATCTTAAAATTCTAATCAAAGACAACTGCCTCGAAATATTTAAAAGGTAAGAACAGTGGAGACAGAGAAGGCTCACCAGCTATTAAGTCACTATATTCCAGTTAACATATTAATTATAGATCAAATAAATTAGTGGAACAGAAGAGAGAATAATAATAGATGCTAGCATATATGAAATTTTAACATATGACAGATCATAGTTTTATTTAGTGGAAAAAGGACAGATTATTTAATATGTAATACTGATATACTTGGCTCTTCATTTGGAAAGAATAAAAAAAATAATAAATTCCATGTGTATTAGTGACATAAATGAAAGAAAATCCATGTAACTAATACGCACAATAAAAGAATGAGAGGGACTGTTTTAACGAAGAATAACAAGAAACAATAAAAGATACTTATTTTATCATACCAGAATGAAAAACTTCGATATGGTGGAATTTGCCAAAAAAGTCCATGGACATATATAAGCAAAAAAATTTATGTTGAAGATAATTACTATATGATACATACTGCTTTTAAAAATTATCAAGGAAAATCCTAATAATGCAATAGAAAATTAGCAAAATCTATGGGTAGGTAATTCACAGAAGAAAAAATTTAAATAACTGATTTTAAAATTTGTATCTGGTTTCATATTGTTTCCAAGTTCATGTGTTGACTCCTTATTTTCTCTTCCAATACCAGTTTCTCTCCAGATTTCCCAAGTCTGTCATATACTCCCATTATTAAACTCTCCTGAACAGAGGTTCAGAGTCCTCTGTGACTTTCTTCTCTCCCCTGTCTACTCAGCCAAATGTTCACCTCCCTAGTCCTAGCTGGTCCTCTCACCCCTGACTCTGGCTTAGCCTTCCCGTTGCGGCCAAGGAGAGGGCCAAGGAGACAGTGGAACGAGCAGGAGCCTTGGAAGCTGACGACCAGATTTGCTTTCAATCCTTGCCATTTACCAGCAATTTAGGAACAGGCATGTTATCTCTCTGGGCCTGGATTCTCTCCTCTGTTAAGATGGGATAATATACCTGCTGCTCATGGTCACTGTGAGAATTGACAAAAGTAACTTAATCCAGGGCTAGCATGGTGTCCAGTACACATTAGGACCTAAAAAATGTTAGTTCCCTTTCCTACTTCAGTTGTATGACTAGTCTAGGGACTGGACTACCAACGAATATATTTTCTAAAGCGTGACCTGGCTTCAACTGCTTAACACTCATAACACCTCCATTCATGGCTAATAGCTTAATTTTGCTAAAAACACTGCTTGCATTATATATTTCTCCTGATTACCAATTTTCAATGATTCCTTATTGCTTTCAGGAAAAAGTACAAACCCCACAGCCTTACTGCCCAGATCCTCATTCCTCTGAGGTAGAAATTTAAAAACCTTGCACAAGGAGCCCCAAACACAACTTGTGATCTTTTCACTGGCAAAATAAAGAAGTGTCTAAAAATTTGGACTCACCTTACATAATAGCATATGCTGTATTTTTCTTCAGTACTCTAAACTGCTGTCCACTGGGAATAATGATATACACAAGTAAATTCCACTTTGTTTTCCCAAAATTTAACTTTGTATTTGAAATGTCTGTTATGTATTTTCTTGCCTTACCACTCTAAATGGCAGAAGGATGATAGCAAACATGGATCATACACAGTTATTGACGTAGTTACTAATAATTAGGCATATCTGCAACACAAACTAATTAAAACAAGAGTTTGCTGTGATACAGCAATAAAGAGAAATAAAAATTTAGACATGTCTCATAATGGCTAGTTGCTGACAATAGGAAAAATAATTCTCTTGTACCTAGTACTTCTTTTTGCAAGTTGTGGCATCTGGTTTGCAAGTTTACTTCCTGTTGTTTGGATGTTTCAATCTGCTTAGACCTCAATATCGCTGCATCTGACAACAGTTTCATATTTTTCATTTCCTCTTCAAGGCATACCTTATTTCTCTGGGACACAGTCAAACTTTTATTTAGTATCTCTATTTCTGTAAAGAAAATGCAAAGTTTACCAACAGGCAACATTGAATCACAAAACGTTTCTTCAAAGAATGCTTACTTTCTTTTACAAAATCAATAGTTAAAGTCAAGATGACTTTTCTGAGAGTATAATGATACATAACCAAAAATTTTAATTTAGTAGTTATTCTGAAAAAGAAATGATTGCATTGCAAAATGATGCATGAAAAGCTTTAGTTGTTTTTTTTTTTAGCCTTTAAATTGTATTAAATGACAATCTTGCCTACTTTTTAAATGCTCCCATAAGTGAATAACATAATATCTGTGTGCTGTTCTGGGCTTTATTGAAATTAAATTTCTTTCTTGGCAACATGATTCAGAAAAGTAAATTTAAATATGCTGGCATGAACTAGTTGGGTGGCATTTCTAAGAGTAGCTGAAATACATTCTATACAAATTATGAAGAAAGATCAAGATGGAGAGGAATGAAAGGGTGCAGTGTCTGACACTAATAAATTTATGGGCAGAAAGTGTTAGTTAAGATATCTTAATAATTCTAATATTATTCTGTTCCCTAAAAATGAGACCAGAATGTCATCATAGCAATCACTTGTCCCTATTCTATTTAGATTAAGTTTAATCAAAATATTCCTTTGCATCATTATGTAGATTTAGATGTGCTAATTTTATATAATTTAATGAGAGCATATTATCCTGCAGAATGATAATTATCAAGTTCTTCCTTTATCAGTCTTTTCAGCACCTTAATCACCTTTAAACCACCATTAAAATATAAAAACACACACAACTGATAAAATACTATAAAATTTGTACAACCACAATTCACTGAATTGATGAGGATCTACATGAAAACCTGGACAGTCTGGTTTTTTAGAGAGTTCGCCTGGCTTTCCCCTCCTTGGTTAGCTCATCTTGTGCCATGGGATAGGTTTAGCTTCTGACTGGTGTCAGAGGAGGTTGGCTTAGTCTATTGCTCCTGGAGCCACCACAGGAGAAATAGCAGCCACAGGGGTCAATGAAGACAAGGCACAGAGATCCACTGGACAGATGCGGCAACAGAGGCAATATGGCCATTAAGTGATTCCAGGAGGAGAAAGCAGTGTACTAGCCAGAGCACAGAGATGGCATGCCATAAGGAGTGGTGATGAGTGGGACCAGCAATGGGGTCCAAAGAGAGAAAAGTGTGCACAGAAAGTATGTCTGGAAGAAAATGTGGCATTTAAGACAGACCTAAGGCATGAACAAAAAGGGGTCTGCTACCTTCTTCACTTCTAATTCCTGCTCAAAATGGAAAATCTCGGATGTAAATTGATAAGGACCAAATAAGTGTGTTCTACTTTATTCCAATTACTTTATATGGGAATCTTTTTCTTAAGAATAGCTACATGCTTCTAAAAACTTGTAGATATACACCCATTTGTGTGGGGAAGACTGATAACACATTAGTACATAAAATTTTAAAGGAATATAGTTGAAAAAATAAAGAAGTGGCTGCTTTTCTTCAGATCTAAAAAGTCTTCCTGGGTATTTTTGTATCTAAAAAGGTGGCTTCTTATACGGAATAAACTGTATCATGCCCTAACAATATCTATCTATGTCTAAGTCAGAATGACACTGCCGAGGAGCACACACAGGCTGTCACCCATTTGTGACTGCCAGGATCATACTGCTCAGGTTAGCAGCTTCACTCGGTTAGTGTACACTACTATCTGTCTCTAAAATAACTACTCATGTCAACATGACTTTCTATCTGACATTAAAAGAACAAGAATCTGCAATACAAACTCATTTGTGAAATATATTCTAACACATGGGAAAGTACAGCAATATATCAAAATCAATAAGCTACAGTGTTTCTAACATGGAATCAGAATGAGTAAACTCAGCGGAGGTGAATTAACTCACCTTTGGCAAACTACACATCCGCTATACCTATGGCAATCCTGGCGTCAAATATTCAACCCTACCTTTATAATTAATATAACTTCATATTTTCCAGTCATGTGACCCATTTAGGGGTTGAGAAATTATGATCTCCACTAGGTCAGCCAGTTCCCGTCCCTGTATCTGCCTCATGCTCTACCTGTTTCAGCACCATCCCATGATGAAGGCCGTCTAACCTCACACACTCAGCCTGCCACAGCTCATCGGCCATCTCTGCCTGGAAATCTGTTTTGATCCTATCTGGAAGTGACCTTGATCTTCCTGAAACTCACCCCAATTTACACCATTTCTATTGCACTGATTATATGTGTACATGTGATCTACTGTTGTATTATAAGTTATTTTAGGCCAGAGGTGATAATATCTTACTCATTTTTTATTTCCTTTACAATTTCTATAACAGGAGCTCAATACCTACTAAATGAGTGAAGGCATTGTTGAGCAAAGTTTCTAAATAGATTCTGGTTGAAGATCCTCAATATGTGTTAGCCTTACTTCACCCTTCACTTAAGAGGAAAGCATTTTAAGCCCTAGATTACTTAATGTCAGGTTAGAGAAGGCAGTAAAAACACACATCCAAAAAAAGAAAGCATTTTTAATAGGATAAGGAAAGAGGCCTATTCTACCCCCTAATTTCATCAATTTTATGAAAAATGTGGACTACATTTTGAAACATAATTCAGGACTTGAACTTTAAAAGTTCAAGAGCTGTCTAGTCAACAATTACCTTGAAAGTGGAAGCAAATTAATTCTATACTTGCTAAAATATTCTGCCTTGGCAAAAATTTTTTTCTGAATTTTCTTTTCTTAAAATAGGTATGCTCTGGTTTAAGAACACAATCTATGAACATTTTAAATTAAAAGTGCTTATTACACAAAATGACATCTACTCAGAAGAATAGGAAATATTTCATTCATATCTACTATTCAATATTTAGCATATTTTGTCAGCAAGAAATTATTAAGCAATGTCTTTTTCTAGGAATAGTGTTTCAGTTTTGGGCTTTAATTTTAAACCTAAATTTTAACATGCAAATCTTTTAAAGTATCTGAATCATGTTGTGTGATGTATATGGGTTTACTATACTTACTAGTTTGCTAGGGTTGCTGTAGCAAAGTACTACAGACTGGGGATTTAAAACTAACAGGCATTTATTTCCTCACAGTCTGAGGGCTAGAAGCCTCAGATCAAGGTGTCAGCTGGGTTGGTTTCTTCTGAGCATAATGAGGGATGGCTCTGGCCCCTCTGCTTGGTTTGTAGATGACCCTCTTCTTGTACCTTCACAATGTCTTCCTTCTGTATGTGTCTGTTTCCAAATTTCCTATTCTTACAAGGACACCAGTCATATTGGTTTAGAGACCACCTTTTTAAATTTAATTATTTCTTTAAGGACCCTAACTCAAAATACAGTTATATTCTGAAGCACTGAGGGTTAGGATTTCAACAAATTAATTTGGGGGAGCACAGTTTAGTCCAACACACTATATTTTAAAATATTTATTGGCATTTACATTGTGATTATAAACATGTAAAAATAGGTGAACATGAGGAGGAATAGACAATAAAATGAAAACAATAGTGTTAGGATAAAGGAATTAAGAGTTTATTTTAGTCTTTATAAAAATGTTTTAAATTTTGTTTTACATTAACTTTTCAATTGAAGAAGTATGCCATTCAGATTCAACTCACAACATAAGGATATATCCATATAGGTTACAACTAAAAGATGATATTTTTTTAAGTATTTGTTATCTAAAATGTTTGTAATATTGTTAATGTTTATAGCTAATACATGTTTTTAAATTTTAGAATAAGTTATATAATTTGTTAGCTAAGTAGCTAAGTACAATTACTAGTATTAAGCTCATACAATCAATTTCTTCACCTTGATATGATTTTTCTGTTGTTCTTAGTCCTGTTAGCTCATTCAAATGGGCTTAAAATTACATTAGGTCATTATGTTCTTAGGAAACCTCTGTAACATTATTGCCAAGGCATACAAACAGTGTGGGATCATAAATTCACATGACTTTACATAGCTTTATTACAATAATATAAAAAACCCCAGAGACTAGATTATTTAGCGAAGGGATCATAAAACACTATACAAATTTTTTAAATACTTTTTACTTTGAAATACTTAGAGATTTATAAGAAGTTACAAAGAAATAGATACGGGATCCTGTGCCCCCTTCACTCTTCCTTTCCCCAGGCTTATGACATTTTGTATAAATATAGTACACAGTCAAAACAGGCAACTGACATTGGTACAATCCACAGAGCTAATTCAGATTTCACCAGTTATATACACCCTTGTGTATATTGTGTGTGGTTTTATGCAATTTTATCACATATGTAGTTTCATACAACTATCAACACAATCAAAATATAGGATAATTCTAACACCACCAAGCTGCCTCCTGCTACCCCTTTATAGCCACATCTACTACCATCCAAACCATCCCAAATCTCTGTTCTCCATCTCTATAACTTTGCTACTTCAAGAATGCTATACAAATAGATTCATTCAGCATGTAACTTTTTGAGACTGACTTTTTCATTCAGCATAGTTTGCTTGAGCATGTATTGATAATTTGTTCCTTTTTATTGATGAATAGTATTCCATGGTATGGATAAAGGACTGTTTGTCCTTCATCTATTGAAGGACATCTGGGTTGCTACTATTTTTGGCTTTTATGAATAAAGTTGCTATGAACACTTACATGCAGGTTTTTGCGTGAACACAGGTTTTCATTTCTCTGCAATAAATGTCCAAGAGTACAACTTCTGGGTCATGTGGCAAGTTGATCTTTGGTGTTAAAGAAAATTGTAAAATTATTTCCTAGAATGGCTGAATCGTTTTACATTCCTACCAGGATTGTTGAATGATCCAGTTTCTCTGATTCTTGTCAATACTTGGAGCAGTAAATTAGAATTTTAGACATTCTAATATACATATAATAGTATTTTTTATTATTATAATTTGCATTTCCCTAATTGGCAAATGACATTTAAAATTTTTTCATGTGCTTATTTCCCATCTGTGTATCTTCTTTGGTGAAA